CCCCAAAACCCCAAAACCCCAAAACCCCAAAACCCCGTGAGTAAAAGATTCATCAAATTAAGGATTTTTAGGTCAATCATGAATTACGTAATTAAATTATCAAGATATTATTAGAATAGTCCACGTAATAATGATCCAGCCCCATGCCAGTTTATTAATACTAGATCATTAGCGTTTTACCATCATTTTTCTATTTTGAGACTTCCAAGTATTTGCACCCTCGAATCCGTTGACTCCATTTTAAAAATCAGAATATGCCTGCATTAGTTCTTCCTTTGTATTCAATACGAATGGACCACCCTGGACAATTGGTTCATTAATTGGCTTGCCTGCCAATAAAATAAGCCCAGTCTGGTCTTCTAGAGATTGAAGTCTAATCACTTACTCTTCTCCTTCAGTTAACTCGAATAATGCAGCCTGACCTTCAGCAACTTATTTGCTTTCATCATCCTAAATAGCTATCTTTCCCTTGTAAACAAGTATAAAGGAGTTCCAGCCTGCAGGAATCGGATGATCATATTTCTAGCCCCTATCCATTGTAAAGTCAATGTAGTATGTAGGTGTGACTGCCTCAATAGGTCCCTTGACACCAAGCACTTCGCCTGAAATTACCTTTGCTTTAAATGAACTATCTTTCTGATAAACAGGAATATTTTCCTTCTTGATCTCTTAATAGCGTGGCTCACAGAATTTGTTCTTTTTGTCCAAGTTAATCCATAACTGGAAGCCAATAGATTCTTCATCATAGCTAGATGGAATCTCAGAATGCATTATGCCTCTCCCAGCTGTCATCCACTGCACATCCCCAGGTCCTAGCCTGCCTTTATGTCCTCTGAAATCTTCATGAAGGAACTCACCCTGCAAGTTATATGAGACTGTTTCAAAGCCCCTATGAGGATGGTCAGGGAAGGCAGCAGGGAGCTTTACTCTTGCCATGTCAAGCATCAAGAACGGATCAAGGTTGGGAATATGACGACCCCCAATGTATCTCCTGACCTTAGCTCCCACTCCTTCACCTTGCTCTTTGGTTGTGAAAATGAATTCTACAGGTTTTAGTGTTCGTTGTATTTCCATATAATGAAATTTTCTATAAATATGCTTGCTTAAAAACATTATTTATATTCAGTTTTATACACGTAATTAGCTTATGTCCAATCATTAGGGGTTTTGGGGTTTTGGGGG